GCCTTCCCCAAAGTCTTTGATTTGCTTAAGTTTATTTTAAAAGGTAATGCTTAGGTCATAAAAGTGACAAGTATCCAAAAACAATAAGTAAGACAAAAAACATAAGCAGTCACTATAGGATAAGGTTCAGAATCCTGTACTTGTATACACATATATTATTAATGAAGTTAACTCATGCTATACTTGTTTTACAGTGTGTTTGAACTTACTATATCACACATAGAGATCCATGTACATCAATACAATTTGCCACCTTACATTAATACTGTACAGAATTCTGTGCTGGAGACATCCTGAAGCTGGTAAGCCAGTCCTCTCAAGAGGCATACTGGTTATTTCCACCACAAACACAATGCTCAGAATGCAGCTTAGAGTCTGGAACTTGTGCACAACTGAAATGCTTAGATGAGATCCTGATAGCAAGGATGATGGGGACAATCCCAATCCTCACTCTCCAGTTTGCTTTTGCAACTAGACTAGTAGGGCAAAGCAGAAAGCTCAGACTATTGAGTGGCTTTTCTCTGTGTGCAAATTCCAGATCTGTAATTAAACTTGGTTTGGAAAGCTGCTTTCACTCTGAGCTCATTTCTTTGGCTTTAAGATGGAACCAAGGACCCTAGGTAACTTTATAATAATATATACTCACCAAAGGTAAAATACTATTTTACCCCATGTTCATATTGAGCTGTGTTGAGAATGTGGTGTCCCAAGACTCACTGCCTGCCCTTCAGAACTTGTCTAGATGCCCTCTCCAGACCTCAGAGTCTACAGAACTGTGGGGACAGGAGTGGACAGTGACTTCTCTGCTTTGGTTCCCAGGGGATGCAGTCTACTTGGACAGTGAGCCCCAGAGGCAGGAGTATGTTATGAATGATTATGGCTTCATCTACCAAGGAAGTAAGAGCTGGATCCTCCCATGTCCCTGGAACTATGGGCAGGTGAGTCCCAGACCACACAAGCCCCAAACTCATAGGGGAAGGAAAGCCAGACGGGGGCAAACTGCTGTCGCTAGTTAGCTAAAGAGCATGTGTGAGAAGCATCTCGGGTTGCTAGTGAAGCAGCCATGGAAGGAGGAGGGAGTGCTATTTGCTGGTCACATCTGACTTGGATAGGGCTTAAGGGAAAGGGCAGCTAAAGGCTGCCCAGCCACAGATTTGCCTGAGGATGGAGTGGGGGCATAATCACAATGGAAATTGTTGCACATGACACATTGTGCTTCAAACTGAGTTTTCAGTGAGGTCTTACCTTGCTCTCTCATTTATCCTGACAACCTCTGGTGCTGAACTCTGACACCAGATCTGTCATATTGACACTTACATAGTATGTATGTGTCCCTGAATATCTCTCCCAGAAACAGGACTGATGAACATGATGTGTCTTCCCTGACCCTATGCCAATGCTTTTTTTATGTGTTTGTTTTGACAATAGGCTTTTTCATTATAAACAATATATAATTTTTTTTAATTGCAAAGGTGGGTGTGATGGTGCATGCCTGTAATACCAGTGATTGAGGACCTGAGGCAAGAGGATTTGAAGTTTGCAGTCAGCCTGGGATGCATAGAAAAACCCTTTGGGGAAACAGAGCTGAGGATGCATCTCAGTTGGGAGAACACTTACTTGACATGTACGAAGCCCTGGGTTTGATTCCCCAGCACCACATAAACAGGGCATTGTGGTATACCCCTGTAATCTAAGAACTCAGGAGGTGGAGGCAGGAAGACCAGAAGTTCAGGGTCATCCTTCACTAAGTATACTAGGCTACAGGAGATCCTGTCTGGAAAACAAAACTAACCAAATAAATTTTTAAAAATTACAAAACCTTTGCAAAGAAACATTACAAAAATGTACACCCAGAACATGAAGGTTATCGTAAGCACTGCTATCAGCTTGATTCCCCTTGTCTTTGTTTTCTACACATTCTCTAATGACTTTGTAGGTAAAACATCTAAACTCATTGCAATGCTTGACAACCCTTGTCTATCTGAAAACCTGCCCCTTGGTTAAAGTTTAGCCCCAGCAGGTGCTCCAGGAAGTTCAAAAACAGGGAGGGGAGAGCTTCTCTAAGCTGAGCCCTGTGCTAGGAAGGAGAGAATCAGCCTTGGGCCACTCAGAAGAGGTGACAGCCAAGACAATATGGGGGTCCTCATGGAGCCCTGGATCACTTGGATAAAAGCTCCTCACCAGGTCCTACCCAAATAGAACTCCAAGTACACATGACCTTTCAAGCTCACTCACGGCCAAAGTCACTGCAGCCCAGAGAAAATATAGCAGTATGAACTGGTCCCAACTCCTTACTCAGTGTGGACATATAGGGGTGTTCTCATTAGTGAGAAGCAGAAGTGAGGTGGTGCTGCTTGGGGAGGCTCTGACTCCCTCCCTTTCTGTTCCTCTTCTTCAGCAAGTACACACTGAGTATCTGTTCAGTACCAGGCAGAGGTGAATGTTAGAGGTGTGGATATACAGGAAGCAATGTTCCTGAGGGCCAAACAAACAGTTGCTATCATATAGTAGGATTGTGAGTCTGAGAGACAGAGGCAGAAAGTTCTGGGAACCAGGAGGAAGGCTCTTGGTTTGGCAAGAGATCCTAAGGAAGCTTCCTAGGAGAGAAGGTGCTATGTTTGAGCCACATTAGTCAAGTGAAGGCCAAGGGCAGGCATATGCAAAGGTGGGTGGGCCAGATTCATGGTTACAGATATTACAAGGAATTTGGTATAACTGGAGCAAAAATGCCAGGAATGGGAGCTTGACAGGGTAAGAGCTGGAGAAGGGGTTCTGTTGTAAGACACTATTGCTGGGAAGATGAGAACAAACTTCTACTCATCACAGACGGGGAACCCATGACAGACCAAAGTATAATATCACCAAAGTCTAACTCAGTAACTAAATATAATTTTACTGGGGTTACTTATGAGTGATGAGTTTCTTATCGGAACAAAAATGAATAAAAGACCACTGTATCAACAAAAGTCCACCCCAGCATGGGTGACGGCTCACAAGAGCTGGAAATCTGGAGCTTGCTGCACAGCTGCAGGCACCTGGAGAGGTTAGAAAGTGGCTTTCCAGGTGGCTTTGTTGGTCTGAGCCTCTTCCAGGCTGTTCTTTCTCATTCTAGGCAGTTCAGCTGGTCCAAGGGTGTCTATCAGTAGTCCTTACTGCTTATATAGGCTTGAGGAAAGAGGGACCTAGTGAATCTGGTCAGTTTCAGGGACTTCCTGAAAACTTTTGAGTTGTTTACTTCCTAGGTTTCTCTGTAGGATCTAATATTTTACCTCCCATTTAACATCTTGTGTCATAAGAAACTTCCTTTTATGCCGGGCGTTGGTGACGCACGCCTTTAATCCCAGCACTTGGGAGGCAGAGGCAGGCGGATCTCTCTGAGTTCGAGGCCAGCCTGGTCTCCAGAGCGAGTGCCAGTATAGGCTCCAAAGCTACACAGAGAAACCCTGTCTCGAAAAACAAAACAAAACAAAACAAAACATAAAAAGAAGCTCCCCTTTATGAAGGAAGGGTTAAGGTTTTAATCTCAGAGGAAACAGCTATACAACAGAGCCAGATCTTAGAGGGATTTGAAGGGTACCTAAAGCAGGTATGCCAGGGAAGCCTAATTTTACTTATTGACAATTGTTTCATGAGAATAAGTGTGTTTGTTTATATTCATTTGACAAAGATACCTGGAGTTTCTTCTATGTACCAAGCTCTATGTCAGATCCAGGTTTGAGTGTTATAAAGAGAACTGATAGGCTTCAATTACATTGTATAAGCAAGTTTGACAACCAGAGGGGACAGACCCATAGGGGCACAGTGTTCCAGAACTCACATATGATTCGTCAGTCCAGAATCCCAGAGTTGTGAGTTTCAAGGCAGTTTGGTACTCTCCCTTCAATATGCTGCCAATGATAAGTTGGGTCATTAAGTGTGATAGGAAAGGAAACATGGCTTTATTAAGAACATCTTAGAGGCCCCAGGATTGTGGCGATGGAAGGGGGAGAGGCAGAAATAGATTTTCCAATGAGGAAAACTCATTGGGGGGAAAAATTCAGTAGCAACATTCACTTCAAATGAACGATGAGGTATTTGGTTTGTAGGATATATGTGCCAAGTGAGTTGTGATTCCATAGTTTTGAAACCATGCACCTTCCTGGGAGGCTGTTCATGGCTGTTTTGATCGACAACTACCTTGCAAACAGGTTGTATTCTACAGGCACACTCTACTGGGGAGCTGAGTGTTATAGCTTATATATTTGTCCACACACACTGAGTATATGATGCCTCCTTTCTCTTCGTACCCTGCAGTTTGAGGAGAATATCATAGACATCTGCTTGGAGCTGCTAGAGAAGAGTCTGAACTTCCAGATTGACCCATCCACAGACTGTGCCCTGCGGGGAAGCCCCGTCTACACCAGCAGAGTTGTGTGTGCCATGGTGAGGTCCCTGGTGTGTCCTGCCCAGGGAGGAAGGAAGCTGTGTAAGGGGACCCCCACCTTCTTATAGCTGTTCCCTGTGATAGGAGAATGAGGAGTCAAGAGGCAGGGACTGCCTGAGAACAAAACCATTTTAAATGAGACTGACAGTACATTGTGGGAAATGAGTTATCTCAACTAACACCTCAAGTAGCTGGTGTGGACCATTGCCTCTATTAATTCAAATTACATGATTTTTGGGGAAAAGCCAAATATCACTGAGTTTGAGAATGATCTCATTACTTCTAGATTTCCTTGGTTTGGATGTGTTTTTACTCTTCTCAGAGCCAAGCTCCTGCTTCACAGGAGATTGAAATGGAATACTGAATTGATACAAACCTAAGTCAGAATAGCTGACCTCCTACCCTTGACTCTCCCCAGCAGGTCTGGAAGGTCCCAGATAAAATGAGGTCAAAGGTCCCCTCTGCATCTCAGGCTGGTGGTCCTTCCCATCAGCACCCCCTCCACATCACATCCTGTGGAGGGAATAGGTGTTTCTAACACTTCTTCTATATATGGCTTCTCTTTAGATAAACAGCAATGATGACAACGGGGTGCTCAATGGCAACTGGAGTGAAAATTATTTCGACGGTGCCAACCCTGCAGAGTGGACTGGCAGTGTGGCCATCCTAAAACAGTGGCATGCCACCGGCTGCCAACCAGTGCGATATGGGCAATGCTGGGTCTTTGCTGCTGTCATGTGCACAGGTAGGAGATGACACAGGCCCCAGGGGACACTAGAGCAACTGTGTAAGAGCTCTTGGATCCATTTTTGTCTCAGTCTCACAGTTCACACCAAGGAACATTTGGAAGGCAGCTGTTTCCTGCAAAGAGATCTCATCACCAACCTCACCAATTTGGGCTTATAGCAGACAGTGGTTTTGAAGAAAAGAACACATACATCAAGACAGAGCACCCTATACTCTGAGCACCCTATACAGCCTAACAGAATATCCCCACAAGAATAAGAATGGTCCAGGTCCAAGAGAGACTTGAGATGAAATACTAAACGATTAACTAGAACAAAACAGATTGGGCCATTTCTGGCTTAATGAAGATAATGTACAAAGAAGGAAAATAAGCATCCGACCTTTAGGGCTATAGCAGCAAGGCAACCCAAGTAGAGTGACCTTGATTTTGGTGTTGCCACAGGCTCAGAGGGAATTAGGGGTCTAACTTGGGACAGGAAGTTAGGGAATGGGGAAGAAATAGAATATCAATTTTAGATAGGAGCTAGTGAGCACATCAATCACAGCAGAAGAGAGCCTAAAAGAATAAATGTGAACAAGGAAGATAGAAGGGTATTGGTTTGTGTGTGGCAAGGGGGCAAAGTAGAAATAGATAGGGAGGAAATTTTAAAAGAAGTAACATCTGGGCTTGGTGGTGATTTCACACGTCTTGAGACAGAGGCAGGCAGATTTCTGTGAGTTCGAGGCCATCCTGGTCTATAAAGCAAGTTCCAGGTCAGCAGCCAGGGCTGTTATACAAAGAAACCCTGTCTCAAAAAGACAGACAGAGAGAGATTAGGAGAAGGAGGAGGAAGAGGAGGAGGGGGAGGAGGGGGAGGAGAAGAGGAGAAGAAGAAGAAGAAGAAGAAGAAGAAGAAGAAGAAGAAGAAGAGGAAGAGGAAGAGGAAGAGGAAGAGGAAGAGGAAGAAGAGAAAAGAAAGGTTGGGGGTTGGAGGTGGTGAGGTGAGGTGAGGCCTCCCCTTACCCAGGGCCACTCTCCTCCTCTTGATCCCCACCCTCACTCTGCCCACTCTCAGCCTCTTGTTATGCATGTCGATGTCCCTGAGTTGGTCTCAATCAGTTAGTCATCATTCCTGCCAGCCAGAGAGACAGGCCAAGTCTGGCTTTCACTCACAGGACTCTAGTAGGATATAGGAATGCCAGAGCTGCTAGTAACTTGGTGATTATTGAAAGTTTAGGCCTTCTGTGTAGAAATTCCCTGTGACAGCCATGTATGCTGGGCCAGACCCCAGACAGAATGTGAAAGCCAGGGAGGCTGATGAATTTGGCACCAAGCTTCAGTCTAAGGGCACGAGGAGCTCTCTGTCAACACTGACAGAGTGTGACAGCGTCTTTAGTGTGGGCTGCTACTGCCACCCTTACTTAGTGCCCTGCCTCTTTTTCTGCTGCAGATACTGATCTTGAGTTGGGTGCTTTGATGGCCCAGTGATAAGACATAAATAATTCAACAGCTTTGATGGCAAAAGATGAGGTGATCAGGGTGACGTGGGGGGTTCTGAATCACCCAGGAAGCAGATGCAAGACTGCTGGGCAGAAAACTGGGCTGGATGACTTAAAACTCCAGTCCCAGAACTTAGGATGAGGCAGGAGGATCACTGGGCATTCAGGTTCAGCCTGGGCTGTAGAAGGAGTTTTAGGCCAGCCTGGACTACAGGCAGAGTGAGCGCCTCCCCCCAAGGTGGAAGGGCAGAATGGATCTTGTGTAAGATAAAGGAGGAAACTTCCAGTGTGGAAAAACTGAGTTTGTGTGCAGAGGGAGAGAGCTGGGTTTGGGAGTGGCTGTCTGGAATAGGTGATGAAACAGGTAGAGACAGTGGATGGAGTTATGCAATGGCAGCAGGGCAATTAAAATGTTTATGAGAATCATGGCCCTTCAGTGACCTTGCAAACAAAGAGGCAATGATCAAATGTGGCCCACTTCAGTTATAGCTCAATCAGCTGTTCCTGAAAGGGACACCATGTCATATGTTGGTAAATATCCAATCTGAACAGCCTATCTATTCATCCAACAATACATAGTGGAATCCTCTGTGCTAGGTGCCATGTTCTACCTATTCTTGGATACAAAGATGGAAAAGACCCAGCCACTTTGGTTCCTCACCAAAGTGAAAGATATAGGTTTAGCCAAAGTAATGATGCCAACATAACTGCCACTCACATAAACAATTTTCTCATTATTATTCCATGGCTGTTGTAGTGATAATGGGCATTTCCTTTGTGCCAGGAACTATGTTAAAACCTTGGCAAAGGGAGGTAAAAGAAAAGCATGAGAACTCTGGAAGCAGACTCCTTGGGGTTTCTGTGGTCCCTTTCTCCATAGAGATTATAGTCCAAGACCCCCCAAAAGGTGCCTGAAACTCTGCTAGTACCAAAGCCTGCCTATATATACTGTGTGTTTTCTTATAAATATTTACCTATGGTAAAGTTTAGTTTATTAATTAGGCACAAAAAATTGGTAACAATAACTAAAATAACTCAAGTTAGTTAGAACATTATACTATAATAAAATTGCCAGCCCTATTACTCTTGAACTTTGGGCAATTATCAAATAAAATGTGGGCTACTTGAGCCTAGCACTACAATAGCACAGCAGGTGATCTGATGACCTAGAAGTGACTAACAGGCAGGTAGTGTATACAGCATGGACACTCTGGACAGAGAGATGATTCATGCTGTGGGCAGGACAGCACATGATTCCATCATGTTCTCAAAACAATACAGATTTAAATCCAAAGAAATATTTATTTATGCAATTACATTCTGACTGCAAATAACTTAAACCACAGAAATTAAAATAAATATTATTGAATATATATTCAAATATATATACATACATATAATTGAAGCACGAGTGTAAATACTAGCACTGCTATCAACTACCTGAGTAACCTCAGGCAAGTCACTTGTGTCTCAGTTTCCTCAGATATGTGGTGAGGAAATTAGTGGTAGCTGAGGCCAAGCTTATTTTCTGTATATGCTATTTTAGAAATTAATGAATAAGACATTCTCTAAGAAATTATGCAAATTATCACATGAGAGCCCCAGAGAGGCTTTTTTCTTCATCCATTGCCCCTATTCCTTGCACATTGACTGGTGCTATTTATTTTATTTAATTTTTTATTTGTGTTTATTTAATGTGTGAAGTATGTGATGTACTTAACAATATTCACTGTCTTTACCTCTCCTATCCTTCCTTCCTGCTGTCCCCTTCCTCTTCCTAAATAGTCACCCTTCTGTTTTCCCATTGTGTGTGTGCCTGTGTGTGTGTGTGCTCCCACATGTGAGTGTCTGTGTTAAGCTCCACATATAAGACAAAGCACACAGTATTTGTCTTTCTGGGGCCAGTTTATTTCCAATTCTTTCCATTTGCCCCAAAATGCTGATTTTCTTATCTGCCAAGAGTTGCTGAAAGGACTGTGTAGTTCACTCATGAACAGTGACTGGCTAGAGCGAGTGTTCGGTATCTTAGAGGTGTCTTGGTTGATCCCCCAAATGACTTACAATTTTTTTCATCTTCTCCATCTGCCAAATGAAATGGAATGCTCAAGTTTGACTCACCCTCCAGTCTGCTGGCACGGTAGGCCCATGATCTAACTCCAGGCTGTCTGCCCAGGAGCACGGCTAGCAGCTGCCGTTTGCCCAGCACCCTTTCAATGTTTCCAATCCTCCCCACCAGCAGTGAAGTAGATATCATTACAGCTTGTGACCATGTGACCCGTGAATGATTCAGAAATACTTCCTTTTGTTTTGTTTGAGATGGGTCCTTTATGTAGCACTGGCTGTCTTGGAATTTGTTACGTACACAGGACTGGCCTCAAATTCAAGGAGATATGCCTGTCTCAAGTGCTGCTGAGATTAAAGCTGTGCACTAAAAATTCATTCTTAAACTGGGGGTGTAGCTTCCTGACAGAATCTTAGGTTAGCATGTTTGAAGCCCTAGCTTGATTGACAGTACAACCACACAAGAATGCACTCTCCCCTCTACAGCCCTCTGGCCCAAGGTTGTCCTTTTTACTGTCAAACATAATGACTTTAATTACCAGTAGAAAAATTACAAAAGGAGGCTTTGTTTTCATCAAAGGTATGCATACATCATCAAGTTTTCTTTGGCATCCATTTGTAGGTAGTTCCTTGGTAATTAAAGAGAAATTCCTGAGAAGAAAAAATTCCTGGCCCTTACTTCTGAGCCCAGGGCCAGCATCCAGAGAGCTCTAGGGCATTGGACTCTTCCTCTATAGGCCTCTATTCTAGAAAAGATTAGAACCCTCAGCCTTTGAGTGGAGTCTGTGTAGTAGCCTGGATGCCTTGCACTATAGTAGGGTACCAGAAGGGACTGTGGGGTTGGTTCTGCTGTCTGAAAACGCTCCCCAGAATCCAGGTGATTATGTGGTTTTATACTATGCCTGCTAGTGGGTAGACGTGTTTTATTTTGTGCTGTTATTGCTGTTTTTGAGGCTCACTGTGTAGCCCAGGCATTCCTTGAACTCCTCCTTCTCCATCAGCCTCCCAAGTGCTAGGATTATTTACATATATGCCACCGTGCTTAACTTCAGCAGGCTTTCTTGCTGAGGTGATGATGAAATGTTCCAGAACTAAAGAGCTTAGATTGTTGCACAATTTGTCCAAATAGCACAAACTAGTGAACTGTACGTTTGACAAAGGTGAACTGTAGGATGTGAGTTATACCTTAAGTATAAGTATAAATGAGTTTTACCTTAAGAAAGCTGCTTGAGAAAAATCCAAGCATCCTGGAAATAGCCCTGCCCTGCTTTTTTCCATACCCATATGAGTTTGGGGTGGGCAGGGCAGCAGAGGCATGGGCAGAAAGGCACTAAAATGGAACTGGTCTGTGGAGCTTATTCCTTCCTATAAAAAAAAAAAAAAAAAAAAAAAAAAAAAAAAAAAAAAAAAAAGGAGCCCTAAGCCTTGGGAGCCTTCTTGGGAAGACAAGGCAGGGCTGATGTGAGAGATGTGGGCTGGGCCCTCCTCTCTCCAACCACAGCAATTCCACTTGTATGTCTTTAATTGATTGGATTCTACCTTGAGAAGACTTGCAACAGTGTCTTCTATTTAAAGCTTTTTGAACCCCTCCAAGCTCAGTGCTTTTTAAGATGTGTTCTAACTTAACTGTATATGGATCTCTACAAAGTATCTCATCATAATTTCGATACAACTCTTGTTCCCGTTCTTTCCACTGAGTCTCCATGAAGGAGCCTTATCCAAGGGCCTGATGCTTTATTTTCCCCAACTGTTCTTTGGATCTCAGTCCAAACTTGCACAATGCCCTGGCTGGAACACTTATCTGCCGTTACTTTCCATTGGTTTACGAGCATGGACGTTGTATGGAATGTTCCCTCATAGGATAGTTGGTTTACAGATAACACCTATTTGGAAAGAAGCCTGGCACATAGCTTTACACAAGCATCAGCTGTCTTAATTGGGATACTGATTTCAGCTTCCTTCTTGGACTTCAGTGGTTTGGCTGGGTCTTGTTTAAAGAACTCTCCATCCATCTCCAGACTCCTGTTCCATATCCTGTCCATCATGCTCCCGCCTTGTTTTCCTCCTCTCTTTCTCGAAATATTTAAGGTTGCAAGTGACCACATTCCTTACTTTACAGTACTATCATAATTGGTCTGCTTCCACCCTGAAAGCCACCAGTTACTTTTCTCCTCTTATCCAACAACTCACTTTCATGGAGAACCCACCCACAAAACACTTTCATTTGTTTGACATGTAGCACTGTAGTGGAAAATGTTCTCACAAAAAATATGTTATTTTTGATGTGCATTTTCTCTTAAAAATGTTAAGATTTTATTTTATGTGTATGAATATTTCGCTTGCATGTGAGCTTGTGCACTGTGTGCAAGCCCCGTGGCACAGAAATCAAAAGGGTGTCAGATTCCTAGGAACTGCAGTTACGATGG